ACACACACACACACACACACACACACACACACTTTTTTTGCCACAATAATTTTTGAGGGTTCCACTTTGGATGATGCTTGTAGTATTTCAATGAGTGCCCTGTAGGATGTTTCAGTAAATGATGTCTGGTGCGCACAAGAAACAAAAATACAGTGCACTTAAATAATTATTGGTGCGTATCAGGCCACTGGGCCACAATTACATTAACTAATTCATCTCATCAGTATGTCTGGTGCTATCATAAATTCCAACTTTCTGCAGGAGAAAGCGGTGCGGCGGAGAGTTATGAGATCACCTATCCCGTATGGCTGCATCCTCGCAGGCACGGCAGGTCTGTCGACAGAGAGGTGAGTCGGTCTCACTAGGTTAACGTCACAAGATGATTAAAGACACAATGGCGCATTGTTTTTCGAGCTCTGAGTCTCGACTGTGTTTTCCCAGCATCCTGCCGAGGCTGAAGTTCTCATCTCAGCTGAGGGCCAGCAGCTGCTGCTGCATCTGGAGAGGAATCAGTGAGTCTTTTTTCACTTGCATAGACATTATGCATGGCAACTTTATAGGCATGCATAGAGATGCTGAAATGATCCTGCCCCAATCGTCTTATTCCATGTTAATTGACGTATAGACACATGGATGACGTCAGGGCCTCGGTTGGTACACAGATGGAGATGACTGGTGATGTGTTTGGTTGACAGAGGGTTGTGCTGTCACCCGATCTGTGCGCCTTTGCCTAACAGGAAGTCAGTCTTTTAACATCACACAATCTGTTGGTTCTGAGTGCGTTTCCCGTCCAGTCCGTGTGATATTTCAAAGAATAAGACTGTGTCTTATTTAATGGACAGTGCGGTACAATGTAGCGTGGCGGGTTGTCAGTCAGTGCTCTTGAGATGTCCCCGGTGACAACCAAGACACAAGTGCAATAGGTTTTATGAGCATTAGAAGCACATTTTACCCCAATAATATATGTATGCCTTTAGATCTCCATTCCTTCACCTTCGCACAGCCACACAAACAAAATTAACAAGTCATGACTCCAGTCTTTCCCCTGAGGGATTTACCCCCTATGTGCTCCCTCCCCAGCAGGTGGTCGCACTCTTGCATTTCCTTCTGGGCAGGGATGCTTCATCAATCACTTGATGGTGTAGCTACTGGATGTGGAGTGAAACACACACACACACACACACACACACACACACACACACACACACAAAAAAGACAGCATGTCCCACTTGATTACATTATTCACTTACCGGACAGAAAAGTTTTGAAACCCATTTGAGCAACTTCCCATCAGTTTTCAGGAACATAAATTATTTCAGCATCTTACGAGCTTCACTTTAATTCGCTAAAGTTATAGACTTGATCATTGCAGAGAAGTCATGTGGCGAATATGGGGATTCATGCAGAACAGGGGTCACAATGTTGTCTTTGCATGATATGTTTTGGCCTTGACGTGTTGGGCATGACACGAAAAAAAAAGAAAAGATAAGAAATACATCACCAATACATCATCAGACAAGTCTTCATCTAACAATGTTTGGTTTTGTGGTTGTAGTTTGCATCTGTCGCAGAGGTGTTCCTGATATTCAGAATATTGTTTTTAGCCACATCGGAGGGGTTCAGTTGTTTGCACAACTCCTTAGTGCTCGACGTTGTCCAGACCCAATCCATTTATCTTCCCTTTTTGGTTTGTGTGTCTGCCTGATCTTATCTTTTAATGAAAGGCGGTGATTTGGTTAAAGATTGTGTGTTGTGTGTGAATGATTAAGATCATTTGTATCGAAAAGGAAAAAGGAAAATGTAAATACAAAAAAAAGTGCGTCCTCTTCAGACATATTTTTTTCAATCCTCTGTTACTCAGTTTTCATTGGTTCGTCGACATGTCAGTCATTACACTCAGCCTTAGTGATTGGTGGCTTTTCACATTCACAATCATGAGGCAAAGAAGTCAGGATTTCCTGCTGCGAGTTTAGTTAATTAGATCCAGCAACTCTATGTTTTTTTAATTGTTTTTTTAGGTGTTGTTGAATATAAATAATTCATAATTTGAAATAAATATTTGAACTTTTTAATTGTTCTTCATACTATGTTGAAACCAGTGGCGCTCTGATCGATCGGCCACCGATCATGGTCAGCCACTTATTGTGTATTGTGGAAAAGTACGTGATTGGCATATGCCGATCAATGCACCTCATTGCTGGTCACAACAAAAATAAAAGAAAAAAACAATCGCCAGCAGATCATGCTTTGCAGTCCGCAGAGTAACTGAATCATATTAAATGTTTTCTTATTTTCTGCACTTTCAATTTAATATGATATCCTGTTTTTCTATCGTGAAGGGATGGAAATTTGGATCGTATGTGATTTTTTTTTCATCAGATTCGTCAATGAATCAAAAAAATAATCATTTACAGATTATTCGATTGTTAAAATAATCATTAGTGAACAGATCCAAAATCGAAAACATAATTGATATCACGCATGGATGCGATAGGAATCGGCAGCAGAACATCCTGATAGGAAAACCCCTGTTTGAAAAAACGAGCCCATCCACCTTTCTTTTCTTCTCCTCCGACATTCCCCAGAGCTCCGAGGACAAACATGCATCTCCCGCTCGTTGACTGGTGTCCTGCTTTTTT